GGCTTCCTTTGTGCAGCTGTAGGGAGCTAACTTTACTGCTCTGACAGTGAAGATGTCCCCTCCTGTCCCCAAATCTTGAAGAATTTTGTCTTGATGGATGTTATTGAACAGTGATTTGCACATTAAGGTCACCTGGGCTCTGCCGTGGACTGAGGTGGATTCACTGAAGCATCTGATCATGATGAAAAGTCTTACATGGTAAAATGAGTCTCCTTTCTGCCAGTTGTTCTGGACTCTTAAGGAATCATTAACAAGTAGTAAAATAATAGCCACTCTAAATCACTTTGGTGTCCTGTGATTGTACAACAATGGTTATTATTCTCTACCCCTTGTGATCTCCTTGGAGAAAGTACAATTTAAATACTATTTCAGTCAAGTGTGACAGTTTCTATGTATGAACATGTAAAAGTAGCTTTTTATGTTTCCAAATTTGGATACTCAGCTTTCTTATAGAAACTCTTATCACTGATAGATAGGAAATCTCTCAGAAATTGTCAAAGTGGCAATATAGTGTAAAAAATTAATGTTTCAGGATGTGGAAAAAATTCCAAAAAGTTACAAATATACAGTTTTTTAGCAAACACATGTGCTATTCCTCTGACAACTGAAAGGGCCTCACTGGTATTGTCATTAAATTTATTTTTTTTTTTAATTAATGTGTGGTTTGCTTTTTCTCTAAAGTATTAGAATAAAATTTTATCTGTGAGCACAAATGGAAGCTCAAGCTCTTAACTGTCCCTCTGGGCTAAACCCAGAGTGTTGTGGAATGTGCATCTCCCATTCTATCTGTGATCTCTGCATGATGTTCCCTAAACATTCACTCTTCTTTTGCATGAGCTTAAGGGAGGACCACTGACATTTGAGGAGTTAGAAGAGATTTTTGCCCTTCTGGGACAGATCTCCCAGAGCAGATTGGGAGCTTGTATTCCAGTGGGATGTATTCCCTCTGCATGTGAAATGTCTGGGTGGTGTTGGAAGCTGCATTCTTGCCTGGGGTGACTTCAGTCCTCCCCCTGATGTGCACAGGTCAGTCTTGCAGTCCTCAGCGCAGTTTTCAGTAAGCTGATGATGTGAAACTTCTTAACTGATGCTGAAAAATGTGTTCCAAATTTTACACACCCTTCTTAAACATAGTGTTCTACACTGTGCAACAGCATCTGAATCACCCTGGCTCCACACCTGCAGGGTTGTGAAAGTGCAGGGCTTTTCAAAGCTCTCCACCTGCTCCCTCTGTGACAGAGAACCTGTCATCAGTGCTAATCTTCCTGCCCAGCTGCCAGCCTGCTCACACCCCCAGCCTGAGCCTTGGGCCAGGCTGCCAAAAGCTCCCTCCCATCATCCTTGTTTCTGATACATCCACATGGATTTTGTGTGCTCTGCTAGTGTGTGGGGGAAAAGCATAGAATTATTGCTGTAGGGACAAGAAACAGAACAAGTGCAGCTGCTGAACAAGCTGGATGTTATCGTGACCTGTTCTGTGGATCCATCACAGGTCCTGCTGGGTCCTGATCTTCCTGGCAGCTAAACAGGCTGCCAGAGCTATCCAAGCCCACAGGAGCTTTTCCTTTCAGCAGTATTATTTGAAAAATAGATGAAGTTATGTTCTGCTGCTAAAACTGTTCTTTATTAGGGTCTTATTGATTTCCCACTCCTAATTGCTAATAGTATCCTCCTCTGGCTTTAAAGAAGTAAACTGTAAATGTGGAGTCCCCATAAAACCAAGATGACTTTTATGGGGGCTTTTTTGGAGGGGGTGGTGAGCAAGGGAAAAAGGAAAAGCATTCCATGGATTTCTCTCTATTCCTTTAGTATTGGTATGATTATCCTATATGTGGATGTGTCATTGTTTCCATTTAACACTGTTGAGCTGAATAATTTGGTGTATGATAATAAATGTTGTTCTAGGCTCTAGCTATAGATTGTGCCATGGATTGGATGGATGAAAAATATTGCTGTAATCACTGGTTTGGGTACAAATGATAATTTTGTATCAAATCTTGGAGCAAGAGCCTGGCACCAGGAAAGAAAAAAGGATACAATGCTGAATTTTTAGTTGCTTTATGGTAATCCTGGGATGGCAGGAATGCACAGAACTGCTCCGGCAGGTGAAGAACATTTCTCCTGGTGGAAGAGCACCCCTAACTGAGTTCCCTGTCACCCCTGTATTCCCTGGGCTCTGCAGGGGTTTGGGGAATACCGGCTCATCCAGTCAGTCGGGCTTCCTGCAGATAACAGGAAAGATACGGCTTTTGAAGCCAGCCTATTCCTAAATATTCCCCTGCTTGTGCCTGAGCGCTGCATTCTTAGGCGTAATCAGCGCTGCTGGAACAAAGGAGCAGGTGGCTCTGACTTTGGGAATGCTGATGGTCCTCGCTCTGCCTCTGCTTTGAGCACGGCTGGGGATGAGCCGGTTTGGAACGTGAGGTTTGGAGCATCGGCCTGCGGCCGGCCGGGGCCGGGCCCGCCGGGAGCTGCCCGGCCTGGGCGGGGCTGCCGGCCTGAGGGAGAGCTTCCTTCCAGCCAGAGTTAATGGTCCGTGTGTCTGCCTCCTCACATCTCGGGCTGAGGAAATAGGTCTTGCTGCACCTGTCAAGAGCAAGGAGGAGTTGTCTGATGATCTGCTGTCGGTAAACACTCAGTGAAAAATGTGAGTGACCAGGCTGTGCCTCAGGATGCCAGAACGATACAGGCACAGCCAGCCTGGGCACCTCTCATGTGCCCCGCTGCTCTGGTACCCCTGCAGGAATCCTCGCCTTAGTGACACTTGGGCTGACATTACCTACACCTGATGGAGAAACCACTGGTATCTGAGGCCCCTGGACCATAAAGCCTTTCAGAAATGTCCTTCTTTCTACCAAATGGCCTTTTATGTCTGTAGACAAAAGAGCATCACACTTGTTTTAAGGGAGGTGCCTCTGCAGAAATGCACCTGGTAATTTATTGATATTTTTTTGTTTTCAGATATCAGTATATTTTTCACACTCTTCATTATTGCCATTTCTTTTTTATTTTTTTAGCTTTTCTTTCCCCCTAGTAGGGATTTGTTTACAGACAAATTTTTCACTTTTATCCTGACCAGAGATTCTTTAAAGAATATTTCCCCAGGTTCTCTCCAACAATGTTTTCTGTTCTCTCTCATTTTCACACACACACACACACACATATACACATATATATTTTAATATTATTTTGTCCCCATTTGATTTCTCAACTAAACACTTTACAAACACTTTTAACTGAAGAGCCCCTGGGACCCTGTGCAGCAAATTGGACATTAATATTAGCCTATGACATTAGTAGATTATGATCTTTCCCCCCCTTCACTTAGATTTCTTTAATCAAATTAAACTGTCAGAAACAATAAATAATAATGTAATTGTGGCTGTTTATTGCTGCAAGGCAATCAAAACATACCCACAAAGGCTGAGGCTGTCTGTTGTTCAGGAGTAATTACATTGGGTTTGAGCAAATCAAGTAGAGCAACCAAGGCTTTCATTGGGTCTCCTGAAAAGTGGGGAATTATTTCAGTGGAAGGGGCACCAGCAGCTCAGCTCCTGTTCATTTCTCTCCTGTGTTTTATGCAGTTGAAATGCTGTTTTCCCTAAAGTGTTTCTGGAACATGAGTGTTAAAAATACTTGTGAGAGTTGGAATGATGATTATGCAGCTCCTTTGCATAATTCCTTCTGTTATTTGGATTTAGCAATAGTAAAAGTGGCACGCCAGCATGTATCCATCTCTGAAAAATGTTTTTCTGGACACATTCTTTCAAGGGAAAGGGAAAATCCAAAAAAGGGTTAGCAAGACTCTAATATATACAAAATACAATGGATTAGATAATGAGGATAAGGCATAATCCCCTGTGTTATTTAGTCTATTATTTATGAGTATTTAGTCTATTATTTACGAGATAATAATACTAATACTTGTGTTTTAGTGAGAATGCTACTCAATTGAGAAGTTGCTTGTGGGGATTAATCTGCCCTGCTATCAGGTGGCTAAATCTGTGACAGCCTGCATTGGCTTTGGGCAGTGATTTTTAATCTGTTATTCAACTTTATTAGTCCCAGTGGACATTTCAAACCCATCTCTCGCCATGAGTCCTCCCCTATTAACCTCCTTAAATACAAGAATTAATAAAACACTAATAAACAAAAAAAATTAAATTATTTGCTGTCTTGTCCTGTTTTGTAGGAAGAATACAGCCCTGAGATTGTTTTTTGTAAGATCGGCAATACTGAGATACTGCAGGGCTGAGTGTACTTAGTGATCACAGAGAGATAATTTAATCAGTTGCTGAAGAAGTGAATGTGTTTCCTTACTTCATTTCTGTTGCTCTATCTGCATGTAGACCTATTTTTATGTCTTCTGATATTTCTCCTCTGTAGAGATACTAATCAGAAAATTAGTCTTGAAAGTGTTCATTTTTGTTATCTCTTTTGTCTCTTGATAAATACGTGGTTTTGTTCATGTTTCTTGAGCTGATCCTTTCAGTGAATAAGAATAGAATGACCTTGCTTTCTTTCTGATAACCTTTTAGGAAAACACCTGTTTTCCTGCTGATTTTTTTTTTTCTATCTACGTCACACCTACTGGACTTCAGATCTTTTTTCCTTTTAGTAATTCCTCTTCAACTGATTGCACATTTTAGTTTCCCACATGTTTGCCATCCTTCTGTGACTAATTTGTCAAATTAGAACCAGGTTCTGCTCACTTAATCAAGATTGCAGAAAGAGAAAAAGGACATTTGGCATCAAAAAAAGATGTTAAACAATTCTCTAACTGCCACCCTCCATTATCAGGAAAGCTGTGCTGAGAGCCTTTGAATTACACTTTGTCCATTGCAAGTAGGAACTCTTTCCCAAGTGCACACTGCATGACTAGGAAACCATCAAAGGAGGGTAGAGAATTTACTGACATAGTATATGGCCTGCTGCAAATAAAATAACTGCACATTTTTGTCTGTGTTTGTCCTTCATTACTTAGGATACTGTATAAGTTAGCATTTCTGAAGAGCACCCCCAAGAAATCTCCTTGCTTTATCAAGAGATGTGGAGGAATGCCAGGGAAAAGATCAGAGGAGTTCCTCTGTGGGAGGTACTTTGCATACTGATGCATCTTTCTCTTTGTTTATAGTTTTATTTGTTTTACCATTGCTGTATCATTTGTCATCCTCAGGAGGAAGACTTTTACACCAAAGTTTGTAAGAGACTTGGCTAAGTGCCAGTACCTCTCACATTTTCTGTGCTACAGTTCTATTTTCTGAGGGCAACACAGCAATTGCAGCTTCTACACAGTTCATGAGCTGCCCTGTGCCCCATCAGACACTTGTGCAGGTGAGCTGGGAATGCAGATCCATGACATTTATCCCATTTGGTCTCCATCAGCAGCCTGGGGTGGGAATTTGAACCAGTTCCTCGCTGGTCTGTAGCTAATTGCCCTCTCCTCCAATCTCTGTTTTGTCTATCAGGTCTGGACAGACATATTCATGATAAGCTTAATGTCACCAGGCTCTATCCAGAGGGGAGCATTCATTACAGACATGGATCAGAAGCACTGTGTTATCTTACTTAAACTATTTGGTTTTCTCACTCCTGTTAAAATCTCTCTTACTTCGATAAATTGCCCTGGCTCACAGGCAGAGCTAGAGAAATACCCTCAGTATATCAAATTATCTGTCAATTTGTCTAGTATTGGAATGCTAAAACTGCTCAAAGAGACCCTTCAGGATGTTGGGAGACCCACAGAAGCACATTGCTAGCTGAGAGGGAGGAAAAGAAGTGACTGTTGTGTTCTGACGTGGTGTGCACTCATCACGTCAGCAGAGTCACTCCTGCTTATCTCTGAAAGCTTTAACACAAAGAAAGATTTAGCCTATTTCCAATCTGAAAACCTGCCTGACCTTTCAGTGCATGCCTTTTGTATGCACTGAATTTGAGCAGTGAATCATTGGGTACACCAACAACCTGCAGTGCTTCGGGGTTTCTCTTTGGGCTGCAGATATGAGGATGTGGAGATGAGATATTCAGAGCTGCCTCCCCTTCTGACAGTCTTGGAGGTGATGTTGGTTTCTGTTTACTTTCTGTTTGTGGCCTACAGAAATAAAAAAATAATTAAATTTGCTTCCACTGTACATAAAGATAGGAATTGTGTGATCACTATTTTTCAGATGTTGATTCTCCATTAGTGTTTCAAACCTTAGAATTTTGTTGGTGTGGCCACACTAGGAGCTGTGGACAGAGGCTGCAGTGCTGCTCAGCCTCTGAGCTCTCTTCTGCAGAGGCTGGGGTGAGAACACAAGGCACATTAGGGTAGATCAGTTCCTGACTAATGTTTTCTTTGCTTGCCTCTGTAGGCTGACACAGAAATGGGATTCATGAAAACCAAACTTTTTGTTAGGTGCAAGGACCTGGAGGAATATGCGTCAATCTCTGTAAAGTGCCATCTGCAGCCTATCTTAGGCAAACTGTTTCCTGATAATTAAGGTTAGTAAATAAGTCTTTTATTTTCCACTGAAATACACAGCAGGGAAGGTCAGAACTAATGGGAGTTTTGGATGCTCAGCAGCTTCCAGGGTTAATTTTTTCTCTGTTGGATTTAAAGCTAACATTTCACAGTCATGTAGGACAAACTGAAGAATGTGTTTGGGAGAGATGCCTAAACTATCAAAGGTGACACTGTTTTATAAGAGTATAGGTGCTCAAACAATAGAGAGATTTTAAATTTCACTCTTTTAATAATCCCATTGTATGATAGGTTCTTTGCTGCTTTTTATTAGCCACAATTACCACAGGGTAGTTTACCCAGGAGAAAATCGTTGCCAATGAACAGAGTGCCAGCCCTCGATTCCATCTCTGAGGAAATAACACCTGCAAGATCAGCCAGGCCTGCTGTGCTTCCCACGTCCTTGACTGCTTGTTCTGTTCACTGTCACTTCAAGGTCACATTTTACACCCAAAAGGCTGTAAATGAATAATCATTCTGTAATATCCAGCAGGAATGGGAGTCTCAGATATCCTCACAGCCCAGAAATGTGCCTGGCACCCGGATATATTGTTCTAAATAACCTTGATTTCTCTGACCCCTTCTAGCTCAAACAGAGGATCATGGGCATTATTCGGGGAAGCTTCCTTACTCAGATCTGTGAGGATCTGTTTATAACCCGTGTGTGCCACATCTTTGTGACCACTTGCTTTGCTTAGCTTATTTCTGAAGTCAGAGGAGCAAATAAAGGGAGAGCAGACCCAAGCTCTGATGAACTTTGAACTTACTCAAATGTGAAGCTGATTAGCTACAATAGAGAGAGCCAACACCATGGTCTAAACAGCCTGAAATTCAGCCCAGTAAGCTCCTGGGTCCAGGTCTTGTGCTCACATGCATCTTTACCTGTATCCCTGTGAGAGATGGAAGCAGATTCAAGTTTTCTCCTTCCAAAACACAGGACTGTTTCTCCATTGAGTAATGCTGCTGAGCTGAGAGATGACACAGAGGTTGTCCCAGATCCTGGACCCCTGGGTTTTCCCCAGGTGCCAGGTCACTCCTCACAGATAATTGCTTACCATCATCAACTAAAAGAACTACATCTCCCATTACTAGATTTACAGGTACAACCACTTAAAAAAAAAAAAAGTATTCACCCACAGTGAGGTAAATATGCAGGTTTATTGCAGCCAAGCCACTCCTTTCTGTGTCATTCCTTCTCAGACATCTGCTCGTGGATGTTAAAGCCCCGAGCACCTTTGGCAGGGACACTGAACTGTGAAATCTGCAGCACCTGTAACAGAGGAGCAGTCTTTGGGAAAGAGTTGCCCAAGGAAAAGCAGCAGCTTCAACTTGTGTCCCATTGGAGACAAGTGAATCTGAAGTTATATATTATATAAGACGTAGATGATGACAGCAGTTTATCATTAACCTGAACTCTGCAAGAAGCACATAAGGAGAGAAAGAAGAAGAAAGCCAGAGAAGCAGCCAGGATGGAATCCATCATAAGGATCAACAATGCTGCAGACATCTCTGTTATTGTTCTCTACTTTTTGGTAGTTCTGGCAGTGGGACTATGGGTATGTTGGGATTTTATTTTGTTTTACTTAATGAGCAGGTAGATAATAGAGGCTTGGCAGAATAACTTAGAGAATGTGTAATTTGATAAAGATTTTGATGCTTAATTGAAATAGTTAACAAGTGCATGGTGGGCAAAATGTGGGCACTTATTTCCATCAGAGGGGATGGTGACAGAGGGTGGCATCCCTTTGGGTGGGTGGATGGAGCCAGCGGGGGAGGTGGAGCGATGGGCTTTGTGTGGGATGGAGAGATGCGATCGGTGATCAGCCGGGTCCCTCTCAGGAGCAGGCGGGACCCGAGGGTGGCATTCGGCCACGGAGCCCTGGGGCTGCAGGGAGGGTGGGGGTGTGAGGTGATGCCGTAGGGGACAGCGGGGAGGGGGAGCTGCAGGGCTGGGAAGGGAGGGGACCGAGTGCGGCAGGGGGGGACAGGGGCGGCAGCGCTGACAGCGCGGGGACGGGAACGGGACTGGGACGGGATAGGGACGGGACAGGGACAGGGACCGGGACAGGGACAGGGACGGGATAGACCCCGGCACAGACACCGGCACAGGGACGGCACAGGGACAGGACAGGGACCGGGACAGGGCCGGGACAGACACCGGGACAGGGACAGGGACAGGGACGGGACAGGGACGGGATAGACACCGGCACAGACACCGGCACAGGGACGGCACAGGGACAGGACAGGGACCGGGACAGGGCCGGGACAGACACCGGGACAGGGACAGGGACGGCAGGGCCGCCTGTGCCGAGCTGCGGGGCCGGCGGAGGGCAGCGCGGCCGGGGCTGTGCGGCGGCTCCAGGGCGCGGGGCTCGGAGCGGAGCAGCCCCGCGGTGCCTCCAGCGCTGCCAGCGAGCCCCGAGCCCCGGGAAACAAAGCCCCGGCAGCCAGGGGACACGAGCAGCGCTGGGACCCCAGAGCTGAAGCGTTTGAGAGGATGGGCCGATGCTCTGAGCTACAGGCACTGAATTCGGGTTTCCCTGGGGCAAGCCCTCCCGGTCACCTGAACACCTGACCAGCAACGAGCAGAGAGGAGGGATTGCCCTTCAGGAATCCTCTGCTTTCCAGGAGCATCCCAGCAACATTTCACAGTGCGCAAAAGTCAGCTGCAGAACAAATGTCCCTTTCTAACAACCCGGCAATATTCTGAGTGGCACCAACAATTTATGGTTTGCACAAACTGGACACAACCTTTTCTTTGCTTCTTCAGCACAGGAACAGAGGCCAAAAACATAGCTAAAAACCTGAAGCCTCAGTCCACCAGAACACCTTGTCTGGCAGGAGGGAGCTGGGTCTTAGCGTGAGAGTCTGGCTGTTGCTGTAGTTGAACTTCATGTTAAACATCTCTGACAATGAGGGGCTGATCTCTGGCTTCTCAAGCCGTTGTGTGCTCAGTTAATTCCTTGAGCCTTTTCTTTCCAGCCATGAAGACATTGTTACTGGACAAATACTTACTCAGTTGCTGTGTGCAGTTAAATGTAAATCCATCATATTTACTTCCTTTCTTCTGCATCGGAAAAAAATACATGGATATTTTTCCCAGGTCTTCTTTCTCTATTTACCTGTTCAAAGTCCATCAGAGATGACAATGGAAATCCAGTAAATAACGGCTCAAGGTCATTAAAAAATTAGAGGAAACTTTCCTCTAAAGCCCATCCCTTGACAGACAATATGAGTTGGTAAAAAGGAAATTTTAGCTGGCTTCTTCTTTTGGAACTTCACAGGGAATCAGGCACAATGTTGATATCACAAGAAAACAGATACCTGTAGGGGCAGGATTGTATTGAGTAAAAAAGCTGCATATTTTCTGTAAATAAACTTGCACCTTATAGTCTATTTTGATGCCTGAAAGCAAAGGCTTTTCACCTCAATGAAAAATTTATGTGAGCTTTTACTTGAGTGACTTTTTTCTTGGTTAAATTGTTAATTTTGTGTTTCACACTATAATGAAAGGTGCAGAAATGAAACTTGAATGGCTAATGCAGACCTAGATAAAATAATCATTGTTCCATTGTATTATCATAAGGTTGTTCTTCATCATAAGGTTGTTCTCTGGTTTTTTCCACTTTACCCTGTCTGTGTGTTTTTTAATCCCTTCATTCTAGCTGTCTGTTCTCAGCCTGTGTATAGCTTGCCTGGTACACTTGAAATTTGATGAAAACTTTCTTTTTTCCTTTTTTGCAGGCCATGTACTCCACCAACCGAGGCACAGTGGGGGGGTTTTTCCTGGCTGGACGCAGCATGGTGTGGTGGCCGGTGAGTGCTGTGTGTGTGAGCACAGGATGGGCATCTGCACCCTGGCACTGCCCAGTCTGACTACCCAGAGCTCTGTGACACTGCTGAGGCCGTGATGGCTTTGTGGTGTGGCTGCAAATCCAGCTCTTTCTCCAGCTGTGGTGTCACAGGGCAGACTGCACAAACAAAGCCACGGGATGGGCAGGGAAAGTGTTGGAGAAAGTTGTCTGAGCTGTTTTGATTATGTGATCAACTTGTTTGAATATAAATGCAGTGGTAATGTCAGTACAGACAAACCCAGTGCTTTGCCTCTCATCCCACTTTAAAACTTTTCAGCATTTGGACTCTGTTCTTTTCATTGCACTCAAAGAAGCTGGCTCATTTTAGGGTTATCACAGACAGGAATTAATTTACTGAAATTTTCCCCTTTATTGCTCTGTTGTTTCTACTTTTGGTAACAAATTCTGGTCTGCACAAGGAGAAAAATCCTGGAAATTGGTAAAATATATTTTAAATGTATTTAAAGATTAGCTGTGCCTTACCTTGATTGTCTTCTGTGGATCTCTATTATCTTCTAAGGTAGAGAATGGGAGTCAAAGCTACAAAGTGGTTTTAGCCATCCATTCCATCAGGCCATTTGGGAGAAATGATGTTAGAAACAATTACCTATTTCTTCCTGAACATACAGTCTCTTTAAGATGAAAAGCAGACAACCTGCATTTTCTGTATTACTGGAATACAGGAAATGGAATCATGTTTTACATGATTTTGTTTGTCTGAATGGAATTCTTCAACACTTCTGATCTTGCATTCAGTCTCAGAAAATGTTTCTGCACTTCATTAAGGTTTGGGAGTCAAGAATCCACACACATTGATTCAGTTACATGACCAGAAGAGTGAGAGTAAATATTGGTTCCCTAAAGATTTAGGATTTTTTTTGAAGTAGGCTGCAGAAATACCTACACACCCTTCAGTCCTGTGCTTCAGGGAGCTGCTCTCTGCCTTTAGAAGGCATTGGGACAGCCTCTTTAAGGACATGAAAGGATCAAAGGCCAATGGCAGTAAAAGGTTTCTTCATCTGATCTGATAGATCTAAGAAAATTCAGGTTCCTTTGGAAGATTGAGGAAAGAGAAAGCTTCCAAGTTATTCTAAGATAAAACCCATTATTCTGGGAGAGGAGAAGAAAATCTAACAGATTACTCTTAACTGTCACTTTAATCAGGGGACTGGTTTTAACCTTGTGCAGTTCTGTGCCTGCCAAGGGGATATGAATATCCTTTGTAAATGGAGATGGAGGCAGCAAGGCAGCCAAGACTCACCATGGGAAAGTTCTGTCTTGCTCCAGTGGCACTGAGAGCTCCTCATGATCCCCCTGAGACTTGGGGGAGAGGATCTGACACCGAGTCCTCTGCCAGCACAAACCCAGCAGACCCAGCAAGCTCCCCTCCTGCAGGTCTTGCTCCAGTGGCACTGAGAGCTCCTCATGATCCCCCTGAGACTTGGGGAGAGGATCTGACACCAAGTCCTCTGCCAGCACAAACCCAACAGACCCAGCAAGCTCCCCTCCTGCAGTGGGGAGCCAGCAGGGATCACCCCACAGCTCCTGCCAGGATCCCCTCTGTCCTTCCCAGACTCTGAGCTCAGTGTGGACAAAGTGCTTGTCCTCAGTGCAGTCCTAGATCTCCTCTTCAGTCCTTCCCTTTGGAATGCCAGCAGTTGCTTCCCATGCCATAAAAATGAACCCTTCTTGCTATTCTTCCTCATATCACTCAAAATAAACAAAGAGCAAGCACTCCAAAACCACAAACTAAATACCATGTCAGCAGCACCACCCTGGAAAGTTTGCCTTGGATAGGAAGAGATTCCAAAACACCAATTCTCACAGCTTAGCAGGTAGATGGGATGTCAATCACCCAGAGCAAACTGGGCTGAAACGACGAGGAAACCAATGAAAGTATAGAAAGTTTAGTCAGAGATGTGATCTCAGCTCTGCAACTGCTAAAGCTGTGTGTGATGGTTTTTTTGTGCTTTGGCTGCTCTTTTGTGCCAAGTCAGGGCTAACCTGGGATGGTTCTGGATAGCCTCAGTGCATTTCCACAGAAAGGGTGGGGGCAGTTGTTTCGCAAGTGGACTCTTGTTTGTCAGATTTCTCCCCTGCCATTTCAGGATAATGACCCTTGTCATGTAATTGCTTTCTGGAACAGAACAAAATGAAGAAAAAAATCCTTCCACAAACTTGGTATAAAGTTAAATCCCCTCAATTGTGTTTTTCAGTTGTTGTCTGTATTCTGTGCTCTGCAGGGCTTTTCTGACCCTGGAGGGAAGCAGCTCATTAGCAGTGTGTAAGGATGTCTTAATGACAAACTGGGGAAAGGATTCTCTTCACTTGAACCATCTCATATCTGTGGTTGGGTAGACTAGAGGAGACCCTGGTGATGAAAAGCTAGAGATTATTCCTACTTTTAGTATGGATTTTGAATGTCAGTCACTGGCAAACTGTGATTGTGATTTGATTTCTCAATGTATAAAGTAGGACCAAGACACATCTTGGGCCAAATCTGTCCTTGCTCAGCATTTTGCAGAACCAAGCCCACAGATAGTTTTCTGGCTGAGGTGAGAATTCACTTCCCTGAAATCACTGGCCTTGTGCAGTGGCTGAGCCATCTCAGTGGTTCCATGGTTAATTGGGATAAAGGTATATAAGAACATTCTCCCAGATTACCCAAAACTGAAATCTGTTGTTGGTTAGTCATAACCTAAGAAATGCTTACGAAATGCTGTGCCCTAAACTGACAGAAACTGATAGAAACTGCTCTTGGTCTCTTGGGCTTTGAGGGAAATATTTTTAAATCCTCATAGTCAGCTCTGCTTTTTCCAAAAAGACACAGAGGAGTTCAGGCAATGACAGCTCTGTAGCAATGGGCCTTGCCAGCTCAGCTTCCTTTGCCAGATGAAGGATTGGGTTCAGCCAAATGCTCCCTGCCATTGTAGGACATGAAGTGTCTGTTCCTGTAGAGCAGTCAGCTTTGGTAGCAGCCACTCTCACAGGATTAACAGCCCTTCATGCACAATTAAAAACCTCAAACTTTTGAAGCTTTCCTGCTTTTGATTTTCTTCTTCAGGTTCTGCAGTTTTGCAGACAGATCTGCCTGCACAAAATTATGGGTTACCTTCTACACCTCAGCTCCTGAGGCATGAGTGGTAATAGGACAAGGAGTATCTGCTGGGCATGTGAAGGCCAGCTCTGCTAGGAAGATTCACTGAACAGCAGTGCAGGGTCAAGGGCACTCCAAAGAGAAATGTAACTCAGCTTGTTTCTGGTCATGTACATCTAGATCTTTGTGAGACAGATAAGAATTAGGGAAAAAACCCAATGGATTCTTGCTTCAGCTGTGCACAGCTAATCTTTGTGGCCATCAGAACTGACCACTGGCATGATTTCTCTGATCTTTGCAACCAGTTAAGTTTCACATAGTCTCAGGATTTTGTCCACTTGCTGATCTGACACTGCTATGAGGAACCAGGAACAACAATTCTGCTGTGAATAAGATTTGCATTTCCTTTTCTTAGGTAAAGTAAAATGAAAAATTACCTTGTCAAGTTCCATGCAAAAAAAAAAAAAAAAGTGTTAAATCAATAGTTTTCAGGATAAAAAGAAGAATGAAGTAATCAAAGCTAAGCTCTGATAGAAAAATAAAAGTTCAGTGAAATGGATTTCTACAGAATCTGTGAGACTTTCCAGCTGGCTGGGAGGTGTTTCTGTCTCAGAGTACAAAGTGGGGAGGTGTCAGGGTGTCAGATCCTCCTGAGCCTGAGCTGTTCCAGGTTTGTTGGAGCACAGACATTTTGATGATTATTGTCCATCCATCCCTCCTGCTTAGTACACTGGGAATTGTAAAGATGTGGTTTAATTGGGTAATAATGCAATTCATAGAATTTTCAGATTAATTGGGAAAGAAGAATAAAACCCCACATTTCCTTCTTTGGGTCTCAGAGCCCTGGAAGTGTGGCAGTAATATTGCATTGTACTGATTTTTCCACAGTGACTGAGGGTGATCCCAAAAACTCAGGTAGGAAAAGTAATGCCTTTGCATCAGAGTAAAGTCACACGTTGCAGGGCAGAGCTGTTAAAGAAAAGCATGAACAGCCTCAAGGAGTAGGAATGAGAAATGTGTCAGGGAAGAGGGATTTGAGAAGCAGCTTCTGCAGGGGTGATACCTCAGGGATGGCTCAGGAGCCTGCGGGGTGAGAGGAGCCCCTGCTGCTCTAAGATCAGTGGGGAGAGGTTTGGTACTGAGCTAATGCCTCCAGGAGGGTGGCAGGGGGCAGGGGGATGTGCTGGCAGGGAGAGGAGCCACAGGCTGTGCATTCTGCACACTGCAGAGTGCATCCATCCAGCTGGGAATGGCCAGGGCCAGGATGTCACTGCATCCTCCACCTAATGAGAGGAGCAAGGTGAAAGAGTTAATGAGTAACAGGAAAAAACACAGTGCTCATCATCTGTTTCAGGGTGGTGGTACTTCTGCTGAACAGAGTGCTCTTGTTAAGGCCTGACCTCTTAAAATATATTAAAAGAGTTAATGTTCCACGTTTGCCTCAGGTTAGTTCAGGTTTTTCATCCTCTTTCCCTCTCAGCAGCTTTTGTCCCTTTCAACCAACTTTCTTCTTCACCTTGCCTCCTAGATCTGTCTTTAAAGTCAGTTCACTCACACATTCACTGAGAACAGTTAACACTTCCAGAAGATTGTTTCCCTCTGCCATTCCCAGTTTCAGATTTTAAGATGTTCAGCAGCATCTACCAATGGCAAAACAAGAATTCCAGTAATCAGCCTTTCCAGTACAAAAATCCCACAGCAGTAAGTTCTTCAGCAAGGCAGCTTGGGCCCAGAGCCCATCTGCCTTCTGTCCTCATCCTTAAAATATGGCAAATAGGAAATTTCTCTTTTCCCCCTGGCATCAGCAACCAATGGGGTGTGGGGGTATTTGCTCAGCACTCTTCTTGCTGTGACCATGCTGCAGATTTAAGAGTAATCTGCATTTTCCTGGCTATGAAGCCATGTTCTCCCTTCCCAGGTGTATGACATAACTGAAACCTATTTTTAAATTGCATCCATTATTAGTATATGTTGATCTTAAAGTTCTGCTGCACTGGATGTTCCCTAATTCAGAGAAAAAAATTTAGAATGTGAATTGGGATCTGCATTCACATTGTTTTGTCCTTGTGGTGGTCCTGAATATGTTGTTAGTTTTGCATTAGTTTGGTTTGGTTTTGTATTTTTCTTTCAATACAATGCTATTTTAGATAAATTTGAGAACACAGCATCAGCAGCATTGCCTGCAGCAGGTCCTGGGGTTTCGGGCACTGAGCCAAAGCTTGTGCCTGTCAGTTCTCAAAGTTCTTTAGCTGCTTTTGTTACTTGGATCTGCCTTTAAGCTTTTGAACCAGGGGAGGGAACACATTAAATAAAATCAGAGATTAATGTGGTTAATATTTTCTGGTGATTGCATTTCTAGTAACCTAGATTTAAGTTTAATTATTTATCTCCAAGGAAAGCATTGGGCAACAGTGCTAATGCTTGGTAGAATGGCACTTGTTTCTACACTATCATTTCTGGAAAACTGTTGCTGTCACAAATTGGTTAGAAGAAAGAGAGGTCTTTTGTTTGTTGTAAAACTTATCAGTCCTGTAGAAATGTCATATGACCAACTGGTTACAGTTCTGTAGGGCACAACTGGCTTTTAGAAATGTGTAAAAAAACCCCAAATCCAGAACCGAGTGAATTTAGAAACATAAATTTCCTGTCCCATAAATTAACAGTTTGTCTGCAGAAAAAGACTTGAAGAAATCAGGAGATCAAACTGAGGGAAGAGAATAACAGTAAGCCTGGAAAAGAAAGAGTGCAACCTCTGAATTTTATTTGTGTGTTGCAAATAAAAATAGGGGAGGATAATCTATTTGTTTTCAGAGATCAGGACTGGGGGTTGAAGAGTGTGGTTGCTATTTCTGGCTATGTAGAATAAATCTGCTCTGCAGAGGTGGATTTCTAGGATGAAATCCTTCATCCTCCCAAAACTCAGGAGATCATCCCTGTGCCCCCAGACACATTGCTTGAATATTTGCTGCTATTCAAATCAGTTGGTCCCAATGGTCCTTGTGGGTCTCTTCCAACTCAGGATATTCCATGAATCAAATGAGAGCATTGGAAGAGGTCACCAGAAATTCCCTTGCCTGCTTTCTATGTGGTTTTCTTTTTATCCTGTTTATTGTTGTTGATGTTATTTTAGCTTTCAGAGGATGTAAGAAAAAAATAGAGAAGGATAAAAAAATATTCACTTTATTTTTTCATCTCAGAACTTTTCCAGCTTCCTTGTGCTCTGCCCACAATATTCAATCCAATCCAACCTCTTTTTCATGCCTGACTTCTCAGCCTGCATCCTTCAGTACCTGATCCAGTAAATTATCACTGGGTATTTCTGCTGCCTTTAATGTGTTCATTTTGAGGAAATGAAGCTCATTCCTTTTCATCTTTTCTATTGTCTAAGACACTTGATTAAGAATTATATCTTTGTGAATGGCTCCTGCCTGTCTGTAAACAAACAGGAACCTTTCATTTTTTTTAATTTTCCCTGTTCATCAATTCCCATGTTCTCCCTACTGTCATGTATGTACTCCATGCTGTTTGTATGAAAAGTGCAATATTTGGGGGTCTTAAAGATCCAGCACTTCTTAAATATAACTCCTTCATTTACCATTGCTCCTGGCTTCCAGAGGCATTTTCTCAGCAGACATTCCTGCTATGCAGCTTTCAGGATTTAATTCAGTAATCAAATACCTTTTGGCTAAAAGTGACCCAAGTGCAGCTCTCACCACTGGCACATTTGGATGCACAGGCTGTGCAAGGTGGAACAGGGAGTGCAGGTTTGACAGCTGGGGATGCCCTGCTCACTTCCTCCTTGAGCAAGGAGAGCACAGTCTTCTTCCCTGCTTGCCTGGACATCATCCCAATGTCAGTTTGGCAAGTTTTGCAAACATTTTAAGATCTATATTGGTGTAATATCTTTTTTTACTTAACTGGAAGATATTTTATTCAACATCCTATTCTCCCTCACTCTTGTAGGTGTGATGGCTGGAGGCTCTGGTTTCATGGGAAACAAGTGGGAGTCCTGAAAGTTATCAAGGAAATTGCTTCAGTCATTGTCATCACCACCACCACAGATAGGCACGAGTTCAATGTGCCAAATGAAGGGGATTCTTTAGCAATTGCCATGAACACAACAGCCAATTTTTGGTTTTTCTCTTTGCAGATTGGTGCTTCTCTGTTTGCCAGCAACATTGGCAGTGGGCACTTTGTGGGAATAGCAGGAACAGCAGCAGCTGGAGGAATTGCCATCGGAGGATATGAGTGGAATGTAAGTGGCATGTATGTCAGGGAAATGCTTGTGACATCTGGATTATCTGCAGAGCTTAATCAAAATAACATTGCCCAGTAATTTAGGACTGTCAAAGTTTGTGCTTGGCAACACTTGTTTTCTGCACAGATCAGTAAGAGCCAATGTAATCTAGCATTTCTAAGCCACTGGAAAAGGTGACACTTTTCAGCTGAGGCTTTTTAGAGAGCATTTGAACCAAATAAGCTGGTGGATTTTCTTCTCTATGCATGTATTTTATTCATTTTAAAGTATTTGTGAACAACATTTTCAGACTGCAGGATGCTAGGAAGAATTTATCAGGTAATCCATGGTAATTTTTGCAGCATTTTGCTATGTAGAAATTATTGAAGAGGCTTTGATTTCTTCACAGGCTGTGTGGAATTTTGAACATCCTTCACAAACACCTGCATTCCAAAAACCTTTTCTTCTTTACCTTCTCCTTCCTGTAATTATGCTCATGTTTTGCTTATGGTTCCAGTACAGGGTAGAGATATCCGGCCCATTTAATTGATACATAAATGAGCTTCCCGGAGTAGCAGGGTCAGTGTAGACTCCCTGAGCGAGTGCACTCCATTTCCTTGTGTTGTCAGGCTCTGAGGTGCGGCTGACAATGGCGTTGTTGTGCCTCATTCGCCCTCGGGGAGGGAATTAGCCATGACACAGAGGGCCGCACGAGCTCCACAGGTCGATACTTCCCTCGCATTTACTGCCGGGCAGCGAAAGAATCCTCCCAGCCTGGGGGGTTTGGCTTCTGTTCCTTAGCAAGTAAATGGTTTGATAGAAAGTACTGGTAATGATAGAAATGTTCAAGTACTGGTATGATAGAAATGCTTCAGGAAAAGGGACAAAGCTTAAAATGAACTGTACGAGATGTGCAGTTTCTGTCAGCTCCCTCTTTTTGGTTATATCAGGCCTATGGCAGACCCGATTCTCCTTTTTCCAGCAGAACAGAGCAAATCAAACCAAAGCACAAATCTCTAGGGCCCATATCCTTCTTCAAACGTTTGTAACACTTTCTCTCCTGCGAGGTTCCTTCTGGAGCAGCATCAGTGCCCAGTGTTGGTTGGGAGCAGCAGTGATGTCCGGGGGTGTTTGGGCAGACACACTGCAGAGTTCATGGCTTACAGGGGCACAGTTAACACACATAACAGAAGGGATGAAAGTAATGCCAAGTTTGACTGCTGTCATCCTTGTGTGTCCCTGTTCCATTCAAATTATTTTTATTTTGTATCAGAATAACAGCAGAAGCTGACCCAGTATTTCTTGTCCATCTCACAGTTTTGACCTAAGGGCAGAGCTTAAAAGATACACTTTAAAAGCCCTCTATGCCCTGTGGACAAAATGAATACAGAGTGCAGCTCTGAGGGCAGGAATTTGTTTTGTATTTGTTGATTCAAGTATGTACAACTCGATATTGGACAGCATTCCAACCATTTAAGTCAGAAAACTTGGTACTGCTATACAGTGAGATCAGTAGTTCACAGAATACACATGGATACACAAAATGTATTATTAAATTGTAATATGAAAATACAAAATATTTTACAAATTGCATGTGGTGCATCCTGTACAGTCTCTGAAATTGTTGTAAAGCATTCAACCATCCTGGGCTTGCTCTGAAGAGAGCTGGGATAGTCTGGTGCCACTGGTGCAGTTCACTGGTGGTGATTCAATACTACAGGGCAATCCTGTGAGGAGAAATCAGCTGGTTTTGTAGAAAATACATCATCCTGTGTGCTTCTTTGGGACAGCTAGCATGAAACCCAGGCTGCATTATACCTGATGAAGTTTTTAGCCAAGATTCCATCCCCAAATTTTCAACTGTGACTCAAAGGACAGAGCAGAACCTCCTCCCCACACCCCTGCAATACCCAGGTTTTTGTGATTTCACTGGTCTCTAGCTGCTGTTGGCTCTGATAAATGGGTTTTGGAAGCAGAGTCTGGAGACAGGAGGCTAATTCAGCTGATCTTGTCTTGGCTGCAGGCCCTGATATTTGTGGTGGTTCTAGGATGGATCTTTGTACCCATCTACATCAAGGCTGGGGTAAGTCAAACCACGACATTGCACTTGTCTTTGCTGCTCATTTCTGCTCAGGGCTGGAGTACTGCAAACTCATTATGAATGGCACGAGATCCCAGTGTGCCAGAGCAGCACTTTGTTATGTCTGTGTACTTGAAAAATGAGGATTCTCTGTTCTAAGGCCTGAGCTGGGAAGTACTTGGTGCTCTCTCCTTGTTCTCCTTTGATTCCTGGAGCTGCTCTTCCTTGAAACTGCAATTACAGTCTCCTAATTCTGTGCTCCACTCTCACAGTACCTGAGTACCAAAAATCTTGCTGTAATTTGATTTGTACCTGTTCCCATTAGCTGAAACCTCCTCTGCCTCCCCAGGTGGTGACGATGCCCGAGTACCTGAGGAAGCGTTTTGGGGGCAAACGGATCCAGGTCTACCTGTCAGTGCTGTCCCTGATCATTTATGTTTTCACAAAGATCTCAGTAAGTGAAACTTCTACAGCAATTTCTTCCATCCTACACTGACCTGAAGAAAAGAAATGCCCTTTTACAATATTGCTCTCACAACTGGTCAGCCATTTCAGGTTTGGAGCTCTTGGCTGAATTAACAATTGTAAAAATATGATTTTGTGTTTTCTTTATTCTGTCCAGTGAGACTCTGCTGAAATCCAAAGTTTTTTCTTTCTGGCAGTGTCTCTTGCTGCTTGTTGTGCTTTGTCCTCTTTTTAAAGTTTTAGGGTTTACTTTTATATTTGCTCTCTTCTAGAAAACATCAGAGTGGAGGGAAATTTGTGTTGTATTATGGTCTGTTATCTTAGGGATCTGTGAAACCCAGAGCAGGAATTTTTGTCCCTAAATTTCATATTTATGTTTTAGTATCCTCTGGTGAACATGCCATCAGCAATATAGATGAGGGAAAAGAGCAGGGGGAGTATGGATAAAAAAAGAATAACAAGAATTAGAAAATGCATGAGTGGGGAAATGGAAATGAGGGAAATTATAACAGCTAGGTGAAAGGAGGGAAGACGAGATCTTCTTTTAATGGGCAAGTGATTGGTGTAAACTTTAAGGTACTATGAAGTTAATGTTTATTAAGTAAATGGATGTGTTTCTGTGGATAGTAAAGGGAGCTGGTATTTTCCATATGTCTTGAAAGTACCAACCTTCTAAGGAAGTCCACAGTTCAGGCATACTTCAGTCTGTTGTTTTGCAGAAGTTGTCATGGCAGATTAGTCTTTGCCCTCTGAATGGGAGCTGAGTGATAATAGTGCAATTTAAGCTAAAAGATTGGCCTTTTGCTCTCATTCTCACATTATAACTGATCCTTAGAGAGGTTATAAATTAAACAGGTTGGTAGCATGGGCTGGCCTCAGAGCTGGATTTCTGTATATTTCAAAAGGATTAGAGACTCTGCTGTAGTTGTGCTCAACTGTCAGAATCAGAACTCCTGGGTACAGCACAGAGTCCTGGATGTTCCAGCAGCAGAAAAACTCCTCCAGTCAGAGGCTCACAGCCCTTTTCAGCAGCACATGCTGGTAGTGAGCCTATCAAGGTGCTACACAGCTTCTGAATTTACTATCCAGCTTTGATTTCCAGCCTGTGTCGTGCCTGAGGCTCTCATTATGGGATTTTTCACCGTTTCAGTTGGTTCTTGTTTCCATGAAAAACAGGTTCTGCATTTAAGCTTCCAGTGTGGTCACGAGGATCAAACACCCTCTCCATAGTCAAGGGATCCACACAGCAGCAGCTTCCCTGGGCCCCCTCTACCACTGGCACACCCCACTTCCCACCAGCCCCTTTATTCCAGGTGTTTGTGGGGAACTGCCACGGTGCTGTGCAGGGGAAAACAGGGTGTTCCATTTCCTCTAAGCATTTCTTTTGTTTCCCCCACTGCCCTGAGCAGCTCCGGCAGTGCCTGTACAGGTGAGATTCCTGCAGTGTACAGACAGGTCTCTGCACTGCTGCCTTGTGTAGTGCATTTGGGTGGGCAGGATCTGCCCAGGACTGATTTATTTGCTCTGTCTGGTTCAGATTAGGCAGAGCAGGCAGCCCTTGGAGGTTTCAGGTGCTGCCAGAGGATCTCAGAGTGGGTTTTGCTGTGCCAAGCTGTGCAGCCCCATGTCCACACGGTGGCCAGAGCAGGGAGAGAAGGGCTGCAGGGAGAGGCACAAGCACAGGAGGGAGCACAGCCTCCCTCCCACAGACACGTTGGGAATCCAAACACATCCACGTGTTGAGAAGCCATTGTATTTTACTTCCCCCTTGGCAAACACTCCCTTGTGATCACTGGGGCTCTCCGAGATTTGATAGAGAAGGATGGGCTGCTGCCCTGCCCTGGATGGGAGGTCACACCCACCAGCAATCCTCCTCTTATCCTTGCAGAAGACTGGCATCTCTTGCTTCTGGGGAGTTATTTCATGTGCTTCTTCCTTGCTGTGTTGAAATATTATGTAGTATACTTAATAACATAATTATAACAATGTTTTCTAGGGAGCAGTATCACATATCAGGCGCTGTGACTCCTGCTGTGCTTTCTGGCACAGTGCCACCACCCTCAGGATCAGATTCCCTTCACACACCTCTGCAGTGTCCTCACCATTTCTCTTTCCTTGCACATTTTCTGTGGGTTTTGTTGATTTCTTACCTTGCTTTGTGGCTAATCAGCCACTTGACAGACAAGGACATGCTGCAAGGAGCTCATCCTTGGGATCAGGACGTGTGATTTTTGAGCCCAAAGGATCTCTGTCATACAGGACCTCAGCTGTGCCTGCTCCCTAAGTGTGCAGCACATTGTGAGCAGTGCCCATAGCAGCTTGCAGAGGCTTTTTAGCCACTAGTGTTGATGGTGTTGGTCATTATGCCAAAGGAAATGGTCTGGGAAAAATAAAGTCTTGATGGATAGTAATAGACTAAGTTATGGCAAGACAAAAAGGAATTAAGGTCTGAATGTTGTTGAAGAAACCAGAAATTGTAAACTGGATCTTCTGAATGTGTTGCAGCATTGTCTCTCTGTTCATTGTGCATAATTTCAGTAGGAAATCTATGGACACAGACTTCCCAGGGAAAGAGGAAGAGCAGAATAACCTTCTCCTAGGAGTGCACAGTGCAGGGGTTAGAGTGGGTGCCCCTGCTCTGGCACCCACAGCATACACCCAGCTGCACTTGTCTGCCCAGCTGTCCCTGTGTGATCCCTGCCTCTGCAGAGATAGCCTGTAGTGTACAGGAAAGAGTGACTCTAATTAGAGATTAGCTAAAGATTGTCTATAAAAGAGTATGAATGGAGAAACACGGAAATATTGGAAGGCAACAATCTTACTGGGGAGAAGGAGCAGTGAAGCTGGAAGATAATTCAGCAATTTGAATTTCTCAACATACATTTCTCAGAATGCTCAATAATTAACTATACATTTCTTTGTGGGAATCATTTTAGGCCCATCACTATTTAATGACATGTAGGCTAAACTAAAGCCAAGAGCAATAAAAGAAATATCTGGAACATAGACTGATTAGTGGTGTGAAAAGATAGGAAGCAAATTACCCTAGAGAGATGGGGCAAAGGATATGGTCTGACAGCCACTGGGGCAAGAGCTGAAGGCCCTGGTTCCCAGTGCCAAAGGAAAGCCTCTGAGGAATGTGCTCCAGAGGCACTTTTGGGAGTGGGACCCTGCTGTGACTCACAGCAGTGGCTGTGTGCTGCAGCACAGTGGGGCTGCAGAGGCCCAGCCTGTTCCTGTTCCTCATTCTTCAGCAGGAGCCAGGGAGAGGTCCTGCCCTGCAGTCTCATTTTGGGAATGAAGATGGTTTTTCCCTCTGGCATCTGCCAGGCTGGGTGTGTGCCCTGCTCTCCCCGGGCAGCAGGGGCTGGGCTGTGATCCCCAGAGCCCCCTCAGGGCTGGGGAGAGGCTTGAGCCCGTGGGCAGAGCTCTGTGTCTCTGCTTCAGCTGGTGGCCCCCACGGGGCCTTGCTGTCAGCTGAGGATGGCAGAGCCCTCCCAGTGCAGAGCCCTCCATGGGTGTGGGGATGCAGAGCAGCCATCAGCTGCAGCTCAGGACCAGCCTCTAATGAAAGCATAATTTACAGTAAGGCACCACAAGTGCACCGGGGCAGATTATTCTGATTGCAAACTTGTGTAAATAACACTGATGCCAATTATCTCTGAATCAGGAACTGAATTAATGGGATTAACATCAGTGTTACTCTGAAACCTGAACAATTCCTTCCTTACGCAAGAGCTAAAGGTTTCCTCTCTTAGCCAACCACTGTCAGTTCTTCTGACAGGAACTGAAGAATGGAAACCATGTAAGATGTTTGCCTTTAATGCAAATGCACCATTTGTCCTGAGCCAGCAGGACGAGCTACACCACACGTGAGCAGTAATGGGAAAGAGATTTGTGGGTGACACTGGAGGAAGAGAGCTGTCCTGGAGGTGTCACACAGTCCAGCCCTGCACACAGCAGCAGATGGAACTCACACTCAGTTTAAGCAGTTTGTTTTGAATCTGTCTCTTGGTGCCTGAGTTCTGAGCAGTGAGGTAACTGTCTAGAGAAAACAACCCTGTAAAAAAGGCCTGGAAATTCTCTGAGAAGTGTTACACCTCTGGTACTAAGAGCTCCACAGTTCTGAGGGGACACTGGCAGGTGCACAAAAATGGCTTCTATTTTCTTTTTTATTTCTGTGTGCAGTACTACAAGGGGCAGAGTTGTGTATTTCAGTGCCTTCATCATGGAACTATAATATGTCACCATGAATCTAAACATGGCTGAACCTACCATTTTGTCTTTTCCAGGCTGACATCTTCTCTGGAGCTGTGTTTATCCAGTTGGCCATAGGGCTGAATCTTTATTTGGCCATAATTATCCTCCTTTCCATTACTGCTCTTTACACCATCACAGGTGAGTTTGCAGAGCAGTCTGATAAATCAGAGATGTTGAGGGAGGCAGAAGAAAGAGAAGTGGAGAAAAAGGGAGAAATAAAAAACTGAAAGGGGGGTTATTTATAGTGGGCCTTGAATGACAGAGGTGGGATAAAAGGGAAAAAAAGAAAAAAAATTTCCAGAGACATTTGCCCAGGGCTAACTTATTTGTCCTGACTTCTCTGCCATCAGGTGGCCTTGCAGCTGTGATTTACACAGACACCCTACAAACATTCATCATGGTATTGGGATCCTTTATTCTCATGGGATTTGGTAAGTAAATCAGATGAATTAAACTGGAATATTCAGCCACAAATCTTGCAGTGGCTACAGGAATGAATCCTGCAGGGAGAAACTGTTACCTTAACCAGGAGGTTTCAGCTCCTGTATCTATTTATCAGGGAAGAAACCAGGCATGTTGCCAAAAGTCAGACATCTTTAGTCACTGAGTCAGTGTCTCCCAAGCACAAGTGAATGTGTAAGGTAACAACAGCATCCCATGGCAGCATTTTTATGTCCACATTAAGGAGGCGTTTCTCCTCACGCTCTCAAGCTCTGAGATTTCACTAATAAATCCTTTATTGCTATTTTTGTTTTCTGTGTTTCAGCATTTGCTGAGGTGGGAGGGTATGAGGCTTTCATGCGGAAGTACATGGAGGCCATTCCCTCCAACATCTCCTACGGGGGCACGGCGGTGGATCCCGCGTGCTACACCCCGCGCCAGGACGCCTTCCACATCTTCCGCGACCCCACCAGCGGGGACCTGCCCTGGCCAGGCCTGGTCTTTGGCCTCAGCATCCTTGCCATGTGGTACTGGTGCACTGATCAGGTAATGGGGGAGCCCAGCACCTTGCTAAAGCTCTGTGCTCCAGGGTGAGCCTCCCCTGCCGTGCAAAGCTGGGCCACAGAACTGGCTGTTATCTCAACACTGCTCAGTGGCTTTTCAGTTCCTGCTTTCAAGGCATCTCTCACGTGTAAGACAATGGAATGGGTGTTCTTTCAAATCTTCCTGCACACCTCTGCCCAGCAGATACCACGTCTCCCTCCTTTCTCATTTTTTATGTGTGGCATTGTGTGAGAACAGAGAGGTTGTGTTGTGAATGCTTACTTAGGAAGCCATGGAACAAATGGCCCTTGTTAGACTGGGTATAGATACCATTCCCTTTTCAGTAAGACAAATTTGTTTCCTGTATTTGCAGTTTTCATCTTTGCTTGCATAGTCTTGGGGGGATGTTCTTTATATGTTTGGTCTTTCAGCCTGGAGACTCTTCCCCAGTCATCCTTCCTTCTCTCTAAAACCTACTGTCCAGTTTCCTCAAGAGATAACACTGACATGAGTAAAGAAAAAGGTGCTCCTGCAACATGTGAATGTGTCTCTAACAAATGATCTCTCTGTATCCTGAATTGTGAGAAAGATAATCTTAATGATTTCTCAACAAATTAACAAAATCCCAGCGTAACTGCATTACTGCTCAGTTAAATATTCTATTCCTTTTTGGCTTTTTACTGTCTGCTTTAAAAACTTCTTGCAAGAGAAGTCTTACCTCTCAAACACACACTGGATCAGTAATATTTTCCTTTATCTATTTCAAACATATTCTTGATTTTCATATAGATTTCACTTTTCCTAGTGGCAGAAATGCTAAATAGACTCTTTTGCTACCCCAGAAGTTAAGAAGTACCTTGTATGAGGAACATGGCATGGTGTGATCATGGAAATGTTATAGCTGCCCTGTGTCATTGACAGGTTATTGTCCAAAGATGTCTGTCTGGCAAGAACATGTCCCATGTGAAGGCTGGCTGTATCATGTGTGGGTACCTCAAGCTCTTGCCCATGTTTATCATAGTGATGCCTGGAATGATCAGTCGGATTTTGTACACAGGTATGGTACAGATACAGACATGCAAAGTTCTTGCTGCCTGCCTTTCACTGCCAGTCTCTCTGTCCCTTCCAAAGTACCTGTTAGATTGTCATCTTCTCATCCAGACAGTCCAGGGACCTTCAGGTAACTGCACTGTTAGAAGGCACAGGCCTTCCTCTTTTCCCTGATCCCAGGTTTCTGCTAACACTATTGCTGTCTGTTTTAGGGGGAAGAAATTCCACAGGTCCCTCCCCAGCTGTCTGTTTGTTACAGCCCCACTCTGAATGAGTGGAAAATGCTGTCCAGGACAGATACTGTGCTGGCAATTGGAGGGACAGGGCCATCAGTCACAGACTGCAGGGTTTGGGGCCACGGGCAGTCCCAGGGGCAGCATGGGGAAATGCCCCTTTCCCATCTCCCTGACCAGCAGAGAGTTTGGCTGTGTTTGGCAGCAGGCAGAGGAGAGAGGTTCAGGCTGCAGGGACTGGGCTTTGTGTTCCTCTGCTTGCTTTTCTACTTGGTCTCCTGGTGTTGTTCAGCCCTGGTCTGACAAAAAGTGCAGATTTTCTTTTGACCTGCAGCACTTGTCAGTATTCTTTTAGAGAGGAAGGGAAGGAAAGAGGCTTAGAATCACCTTCCTCCCTGCCAGCAAGCCAAGGATGAAGTCAAACGTGTCAATCCGGTGGCTCAACACCGAGATGCATCCTAGAAGCTCTGTTAATTTGGGAGCAATCTGTTGTTTACATGACCTTGTCTCAGTGTCTCCTCATCCTCTCCTCAGATGTGGTGGCTTGTGTTGTGCCTGAAGTCTGTCAGCGCTACTGTGGCACCGCAGTGGGCTGCACAAACATTGCTTATCCAAAAATGGTAGTGGAGCTTATGCCAAATGGTAAGACACCGTCTCTATTTGTTGTTTCTTTGTTTTAGGAAAGCCAGACTGTAAAAACAAGTGATAGAGGGAGTCCAAGACCCCTGCTTAGTTCCAAGATTCTTGCTAGAATTATGTACTATTAACCAAAGGGGTTGTCTGTATTAGCTGTAGGTGCAGAATGGCTCCACACTGACAGTGTCAGCTCTCAGCTGGCACTTACTGCATGCTGAAATGGTAAATGAGCTCCCTTTTTGTGAAAATAAAGTGTAACCTGCTTGGCCAGTGATTTATAAAAGACTCTCTGCCAGGATATCTTGAGCTGGAGTCCTATTCCTGTGGTCCTCCTGCCAACCCCAAAGAGATGGGTGCTGGCTCATAAGGAAAAAAAACAGGTTATGATATTACAGAGACCATGGTGCTTTCCTGATGGCTTTGGTACTTTCCCATCGTTGGATAACTGTTGTTAAAATCCTGCAGTAATTCCCCATGCTCTATGGCCAGACCAGACCACCAAGAAAAATGGCTTACTCTGGTTTTCAGACAATAAAATAGACTTTTTTTTTTTGGAAAATACCTGGTTCACAAATATACTATAAGCAAGTGAGCACTTTCCTGCAAAGAAAAGGAATTATTTTTAAAATTGTTGGGAAGAGTCTGCTTAATATTGTTTTATTTTATTCCAGCCTTTAATTAGCTAGAATTCACTAAAGAGGTACCTACATGCTAAAAGCTCAAGAGTTTCCCTGGCACTGCTGTAAATAGCTTTTTGCAAACTCTGCTTGCCCAGCAAGGAAATGTCAGGCAGAATTTTGTGTCAGGCATGTAAATGTGCCAGACACGCTCAGAGCTGACAGATGAAAAGGGTTGGGCAAACAGCTGGTGCCAGGTGCTGAGGCTGTCCATGGAACATTCATCCCCGTTCCCATCTCTGTGCTCATCCCCGTTCCCATCTCTGTGCTCATCCCCGTTCCCATCTCTGTGCTCATCCCTGTTCCCATCTCTGTGCTCATCCCGTTCCCATCTCTGTGCTCATCCCGTTCCCATCTCTGTGCTCATCCCGTTCCCATCTCTGTGTTCCAGGTCTGCGGGGTCTGATGCTGGCAGTGATGCTGGCCTCCCTTATGAGCTCCCTGACATCCATTTTCAACAGCGCCAGCACTTTGTTCACGATGGACATTTACACCAAGATTCGGACGCGGCCGTCCGAGAAGGAGCTGATGCTGGCAGGCAGGTGAGCCCCGGCGCTCCCGTGCTGTCCCCCTGCCCGGCCCCTGTCCCGCCCCGCCGCTCCTCTGGGGACAGCACGCCGTGCTCCCGAGGAACACAGTGTGCAGGAAGCAGCCCAGCCAATTGTCACTGCTTCCCACTGCTGTTCCAAGGAAAATCTTTTAAATTGTCTTCCTGGGCTCCGTGCTGCACCAGGCTGCAGCATCAATGAACTGGCTCTAGTTCATCTGCTATTGATTTGTCTCTGGGCATAACAACCACAGAGAAAAGTGATTTTGTGTGTTTTGATTGCATATTTAACCATGTGCTGATGGATATTTGACATCTACAATACCCAACTTGGGTTTCTTTTGTTTGTTCAGTGCTAATTTGCCATTATAATTGATTTCACTAGTTGAAATATAAAATGAACATGTAAATTATTGATTAATTGATGTTCTTTTTTCTTTCTGATAGATCATAGATACTTCTAAGCAGATGGCTAATTGAATATCTGGCTGTGTTTACAGGGCATTTATGTTACTCTTAATTGGCATCAGCATTGCCTGGGTTCCTGTGGTGCAGTCAGCTCAGAGTGGGCAGCTCTTTGATTATATTCAGTCTGTTACCAGCTACCTGGGACCTCCCATTGCTGCTGTTTTCCTGCTTGGTATCTTCTGCAAGCGTGTCAATGAGCAGGTAAGTGCAGATTAGGAAACAGGTATGCCACGTGTTCCTTTAGGAATTGGGAGAACTGGGGGTTTTTTTTGTTATGAGCAACTTCTTCCTGTTTATTTTAATCCCAGTATAGCCCAGGGATTTTGTGTCTCCACACCCCAAAGCCTGAGGTTTCAAAGATGAGTTGGATAAAGTTCTTTCATAGTCTGATAGATAAACAGTCACCTAGGAATTTATAGATAGCTCTGAAGCTTAGGTTACCTATCACTTTGCCAAGAAATGTGTTAAAAGGATAATCTATGGACACATATTTGAAAGTTTTCATTTAGGATATTGGTCACCAAGCTGATTTACCAAACAAACCACCTCTTACCTATCCTGTCCAGCTGGGTTTTGAATATCCCCAAGAGTGGAAACTGCACAGTGTCTCTAGGCAACCTGTTCCAATGATCAAGCACCTTTACAGTAAAAGTACAAAAAATTATGTTTAACCAGAATTTCCCATGTTTCAGTTTGTGCCCACACGTACCTGTGTGTCTGTTACACTTTGGGCTGGAGTGCTGTACACCAGGCTCCCACCAACAGTTCTGAGAATTCAATAATTACTCAGGGCCATTAGCAGGTAAACCAGACACACATTTCAGGAAGGATGACACAACGTTCTGGCTGGTTCCATTGAGCCAGAGCTGTCAGGGATTAAGTTCTCAAAGGTAAAAAGGTATGAGAACAGCCCCTGGGGTGTGCAATCCATGGCTGAAACCTGTCCTGTAGAAGGGGGCAGCTGTGTGGAGCCAGAAGGACTGTGAGAAATGGTCTGGATGCAGTGCCCTGAGGTGTGCCTGATATCTCAGAGCTGTTCACTGCCCCTTTCAGTTGGAATCATACACTGAGCTGTAAATAAGGTCACTGAAAGCATCTTGGTTAAAACCCACATGCCAAAGCCATTGTAACACATAACTCCATCCATGTTTCCTCCAGCAGCTGTTTGAGAGCTCAGAGTTTATTCCCACACCTAAAATGCCTCATTTTGATCCCTTCTTGTCACACCCTTGTCTGCAGGGTGCCTTCTGGGGCCTGATTGTTGGGCTGCTGGCTGGACTCAGCAGGATGATTGCAGAGTTTGCCTACGGAACTGGCAGCTGTGTGGCCCCTTCCGACTGCCCCTTCATCATCTGTGGCATTCACTACCTTTACTTTGCACTGATCCTCTTTGGGGTTTCTGCCATCGTCATCCTGGCAGTCTCCTTCATGACCAAGCCCATTCCTGATGTCCATGTGAGTATCACTGCAGTCCTGCTCCTCAAGGAATGGAACACAATGAAACCACCAGTTTGTACTTGGTGTGTTACCCTCGACACTTCAGCCACCCCAGCACACAGCTCTTGTAGGAAAGCAAAGGAAATAGTCTTCCTTTACCTGTCACAGATCTTCAGTGGCTCCTGATAGCCTGGCACATCCCAGACACTGGGGATGCTGTGCCTGACAGGCTGGCTGGGCTCTGTGTATTGATCCATGATCAGTTCAAGGCCTTTTGTTCCCTGGCAGCTTTACCGCTTGTGCTGGTCCTTGCGGCACAGCAAAGAGGAACGGATTGATCTCGATGCAGACGAGGAGCAGGACAGAGCTGATGAAAAAGATGGTGAATCAGGTAACTGTTGAATACCTAGAGATTTTGTCATATATTTGAGTATCCCTGTTTCATTCCTGAAGGAGCATTAACATGTTTGATAGTTGAAGACATCCTCCATCTCCCCAACAACAAATCCTCAGCCCCCACAAATTAAATGGCTCATGAGCTGCCTTTTCCAATCCCTCAAGCTCAGGGTAAATGAGAAGTGAAGTGGATTTGAAGGGAGAAAATCCTATTCTCTTGGTATCTGGGTGGCAGCTCTAGGACTAAAGCAATGGCAGTGCTGTGGGTCAGAGGCACTGTGCATTGGCAGAACTGTGTGTGACTCCAGCACTCGAGGGAATTCACCTGCAAACAGTGGGTTGTGGTCAGGATTGAAGGCACCATGAAAGCAGACTGCAAACCCACCTGCTCTCTTTACTGGGTTTCTGGTTCTGCTCCCAAGCTCCTTTTCAGCAGTATTCTCAAGTGAATTTATTTGTCTTTCAATTAAGAGTGTAGAAAGTATTGAAAAAATGGAGTTTAAGCTTTGAAGCAGTTTGCTTCTCCAATACCAGGGCAAGTCTCTGGGCTGCAAAAGGCCCAAGTGTCTTCTGCAAGAAGGCTCTCTTGGAACATGTAGAAAATCCTGTGAAAACACAGTATTAACTTGATTCTTGTACTGTTTTGTACTAAAATGCTTCCACTGAATTACGACCATAAATCAGAACGGGAATGTCCTCAGTCCCAGAGATGTGTGTGCCATGACCTGTACTCACCTGTCCTGACCACAGTGTTATTCCTTCCAGTTAATGAGGAAAACCAGGAGGACCCAGGATGCTGTAGGAAAGCTTACAACTGGTTCTGTGGCTTGGACCAACAGAAGGGCCCCAAACTGAGCAAGGAGGAAGAAGAGGCACTGAAGAAGAAGCTGACAGACACCAGTGAAGTGCCACTGTGGAGAAACATTGTGAATATCAATGGCATCATCCTCTTGACTGTGGCTGTGTTTTGCCATGCCTACTTTGCATAACCCCCTGCTCACAGTCCTGAAATTGTACTGTATTGTTCAAGCAAAAATGATGGTTTGGAGATTTACACAATTAGATACACATTGTATTTTCATCATCTGCATTTGTAAAACATCAGAGTGATTTACTCACTGATTTTGTGATCATAATTTCAACAATTTAAAGATGAAGACCACTGGGATTTCAAGAGAGAATTTCTATTTAGACATTGAACAAATCCAGGGCTGAGGTTCAGAATTTCCATCCAATATTCTCTCTCTCATGATACATTTCATATTTTAGGTTCAGAACAATGCTGTGTGAGCCATATTTCATATCAGGTTTTGTGAACTATCTTTTAGTGTTCACAATACTATTTTGATTTTAAACCCTTCCTCTGATCATTCAATTTTCCTTTTCCTTTGGCTATGATAATTTGATTGCAAAAAACTCACAACCACTGAGGGACTGTATTACAAACTCAAAACGTTGCTTTTGATTTGACCCCCCCCCACCATGGGATATCTTAAGTAAAGGATTTATGTATATATCAATGTATTTGATATTATATATAATTTTCTATTATCAGTTTTCCCCCCTTTTTCTCATTTTCCACTGGGTTGTGTTTCTCAGTTGTCAGTGGAACACTAACCTGTGAACTGATCACATTTTGAAACTGGGGAACACCTCTCTTATGATCCTAAAAAGAATTTTGCTTACAGCAGATTATCTGTTTAAGGTTAAGTTCCAAAGGTCCTCCTCTCGTGATATTTTAATATATACCTTTACTTGAATGTGAAGCTTTTTATACAAAATACATGTATTATATATACACAAGCAATACATTATGTATATGCACTATATATATTATATATATTTAAAATATGTATTTATGTGTGTGTATATATATTTATTTCTTACTGATCAATTCCCACCCTGGTGTGTCAAGGCCCCCTTAGTGTGGGCTTGGAGTCAATGTACTGCCTCTGGCCATGGTGGAACATGCACAGCATTGGAATGCTGGGCTGCACTGTGCAGATACATCCAAGGGCTCTGTCCTGCTTTTCTGCAAAGCTATAAATCTTTCCTCTGAAGATTTCATTGAGAAACAGGATTCCTGCTGCATGGCAGCATGAGTTAGCAGTTCAGGAAGGAGAATAGTCACAGCTGTGGGCTATCAGCTAAACCAGGCTGATTGTCTCCACAAGTTTGGTACCAGCTGGGGACACAGGAAAAGGCAGATTTAACACTTCAAAGCAAAAAGCAATAGATCTTCTTTTCATCTCATTCAGCTTCCTGGGGAACCAAGTGTGGAAAAGATGCTGGTTGCTCAGTGGGGCAGTGCCACAGCTGCCTGCTCCTTTTTGCCCACCTTGGTGGGGCTGTGCTGCCCCCCAGGCTCTGCCCAGGATGCTCCAGGCTGGCAGCAAGGGCAGCTGGAGGGGAGGGCAGAGCAGTGCCACTGTCACCACCCTGCTCTGCCTCCTGGGCTGTCACCACTGCTTCATCTGCTGGCAGGATCTTTGCTTCATTAGGATCCATGCCCAAATGCTCTGGATTCCAGCAGAATTGCTGCTCTTCAGTAGAATTGATGCTGTTCAGCATAATCCCTGCAGGGTCCTTTGCATAGGCCAGATCAAATCAGGACTTCAGAAGTACCAGTGCAAACCTTAACACAGTGATATTTTAAAGACCATGGAATTAATTGTATTTAATGAACAATGAAGACTTGTATGTATTAAAGTAATTGTCTGTTTTGAAGTATTTGGTGTCCACAAAGTGATGGGATTTTTATATAATATGATGGAAGACAGAGAAACTTCATTTGGTGTCCAGGTTTTGGCTCTGGGTAATAATAATGGATGAAAAACAAACAAGGAAGGTGTCACTGAGGATTGCCTATGTCCCTCTTTGTCATTCTTGGCTACAAAATACAGTGAAATTATAAAGCTATCTGAATAAAAACAAATAATACAAGTGATTTCCTGGCAGTCTGAGCACCTTTGGATGATGTCCTGGTTAATCAGGCATCATTGCATGATATTGTTCTTCAGAACCACAGAGTTTTGAAAATCTAATGCAGTTTCCCAGGGATATTCACTGTGTGTCCTCAGCAATCTGATTCATTCTGGTCTGAAGGTGGATGTTGTGGAGGGAAGAGCTCAAATGTCTACATAAAGTTTGACAGCTACTGTTGACTCCTGTGATTTTGTAGAATTTCAAAGAAAAATTGCCTTATATTGTGAACAGTTGATAAAATTGTAATGTTTATCTAACATTAAATGCCAAGTCAGGTTGGTAGCTATTGCATTAATGATTTTAAGGAAGAAAATTACTTTCCTTCAGTTTTCAGGGGAGCTCTGTCCATGAGCTGTTGTTGGGAGCACTCAGCTAAAAGCAGTAGTTTACACTGTTCTGGGCTTTATGCTTTAGAGATGGGAACTGTGAGCACACCCTTTCCCCCAGTGTTTGATTATACATTTGAAATAACTCTGGTTAGTGCTGGGACTCCAAATAAATCTCTGGCTCACTGCACAAAGTACCTGCATGGCACGTACAGCATAACACAGCTCAGTTTCAGGGGATCTTGAGGCATCCCAGCTTACCCTGTCAGGTAGGATACATGGTTAAATCTTATTTTAATGAGCTTTAGTTAGATATACTGAATTATTTTATAAAACAAAACAAAATAAAATAGGCACTTAGTAGCACTGTCAGCAGATTGTGACACTGCTCTGTAAAGAACACACACTAAACAAAATCATCCATTTAAGAAATACTACATAGTTCTCAGGAAAAATCCTGGAAAAGGGTAATCACTGTTCATTTAATTTGTCTGTACCACCCACAAAAAATGTATCCAAGTATCTCACAGATGTTAGTATTGATGATGATGAGAACACCCTGTTCTTAAACTCGGAATTTGGGTTTATTCCTATTTCATTACTGAAAAACCTCATGCACTGAGATGCCAGGGAAGGGAAGGGCTGGGGCTTTGTTGGAATCAGTCTGCAGTAGCCATGGCTTGGTTTCTTAGGCTGTGTGGCCATGCAGAATTAGGCCATGGCACAAGGCTGAGCTCCTCAGGCGCAGGTAACTGTGGTGATTGTGGTGATGGTGGTGATGGTGGTGACTGTGGTGATTGTGGTGATGGTGGTGGTTGTGGTTGTGGTGATTGTGGTGATTGTGGTGATTGTGGTTGTGGTGATTGTGGTGGTTGGAGCCCAGCAGCAGCTGGGACTGCCAGGGGAGGCTCCCTGACCTTCCTCAGCTGGCACAACCAGGAGTGCTCCTGTAAAGTAAAAGCCAACACAAAAACGAGGAGCAAAGCTAAACAATAAATCCAGGTACTGTCAGTCACTGTGTCTGAAGGGCACTTGGGCTCTTTGGTTTGAAGTGTGGAGCCAGAGGAGTTCAGAGCTGACATTTCTGGGGGCAGACAGCACAGGAAAGGGCTGGGCACAGGCTGAGGGTGACAGCAAAGCTGCTCTCAGGAAAGCTGCTGGGTGCTTTAATTTGCTTAGTGGCCTTATGTGCCCTGCAGGGTTCTCTGGGGGAGCAGAGAACCCACAGAGAGGGAAGGGAGCAGCAATCAGAGACCTTCCCTTGTGCTGAGAATCTGTAGTCCCAGATTCAATAACAGCAGGCAATACACTGCTGAAAGAGATGGGAAATACAAAAAACCCCCTGGCTTTATTTGGTGATTCATGGCATTTACTCATGGTGTGTGTATTGTAGGCCTGTGCTGGAGAATTTAAAGAACAGACAAAACTTCACTCACTCCAGTTTCTACAACTTGTTCTGATGCAAGACAGTATAAGCAGTGCCTCTAGTTATCATCCTTATTATTAATAAAAAAGTTCTCTTTCTTGTGCCTCCTGAAGAACATTCCTTCTTGCCCTCTACCATGGGCAGCTGTGAGACAGAACAATTCCCCTGGAGCTCCTGAGCCCACCCTCCCCTCACCTGGCACAGCTGAGGCCAGAGCAGCTGTGCCTGCCTGGATCAGCACCTCCCTCCTTCTCTGAAGGTACCTGGAACAGCTTCAAGCTGAAGTGTGGGTTTCTTGTCACTCTGTGAAATATTTTTGTTTACAGTATTGCAGCCTATAACTTTAAAAATGTAGTTCATATGCAAGGTATGCTGAAACAAATTATGAAAATGGGTTTTATTCATTCAAATTGCAAACTTTGTCTTGATAAAAAGAAGTCCTGTGTTTTGAGCATGTTAGCTTTGTGTGTAGCTGTCTCTGCCATTCTGGTTTAGTGTCATTAGCCAAAGCTGATTTTCCCAGACTATTTTGTCCTTAGACAAATTTCTCGCTATATGATTTTTATATTTTTTAACAGGAAAGGTAGTGGTGGGAAATAAATATACTCCCTGCTTTGAAACATGAAGAGATGGAATTAAAAGTTGTCACTTTCCAGAGCAAGACAGAATGGATTTCTACCCCTTGGCCTTCTGAAAGCATACAGGGACAGGGGAAATGAGTCTGTAGTTGCAACAACAAAGAGCCATAACATTCTTAACCTTCTGGAAACTGTTAGAAAAAATTCAACATGACCTCTGCCTGGGTGGGACACAAGACTCCACAGGGAAGTCTTGTTGCAGCTGTCTTGTCTTCTGGTGCTGCTGAGGACTGCTGGGCAACTGGTTTGAAAACTCAGCCTGTGTAGAGTGTAAGTGCATTCATTCCAGTATTGACTTGGGACCGTATTAATTATATCTGGGCCTCAATAATTGTTGGCTTCAAGCTAAAAAGGCAAATTGATTTCATTGATGTTAAAAATTTGCCTTGGTGCTAAAGCCATCTGAGCACAGAGCACTGGGGAAGGCACAGTGCTAAAACCAGAGACTTGCTGTACACACAGCATTTCCTTTGAAAGGGTGAGTTTAATTAGGGTGTGGGTGCCAGATCCTGAGATGTTCATTTAAGTATTTGTAATGTGTATGAAGCAATTCCAAAAGATCTTCAGTATTTTTGTGACCAAGTCTGTGGTAGCTTTATTATGGAGTCTTCCTGACTGCAAGCTGTCAGTCCAGGGAAAGTGTTCATCAGCTGTTCCTTTGATCCAGCCAATTGTTTTGCTGACACCTACAGTGCTAATTAATTCCCAGCCTCATGAAATGGGGACTCTTGTCTCTCATCCCAAAGCAGGGAATTAGCGCTCAGCACAGCCTGTGACTTTTGATTATTATATCAACCACCTTTTTGTCAATAATGAAGCTTTGCAAGTAGAACACCACAATTAACAGTGGTTAACAGTGGCTGTTCCATACAATGACTTTAAATTCTGGCATTTGCAGAGGCAGCACATGGTCAGTACAGCCCAAGGGAATTCCTGTCGTGTTTGGAGTGTGATGGTTTCATGTTGTCACATGTAACAGGGCCAAAGGATTGCTGAGACAAAAGCTGACATTGGGAGGGCCCCAGTAGTGTCCATATCTCAGAGTTCACCTGAGGCTTTGTTCCATTTCTGTACTGTGTGTGTA